ATCACCATACTGACTTTATCTCCTAAACTGTTACAGGAGGCATCCAGTAACTAGCCAAGGAAAAGCTCAATGTGTATAATGAAAGCAGTTGCTACAGTGAAGGGGCTAGAATCACCTGGAATTTGTAGGAAAAAAAAAAAAAAAAAAACAGACGAAAAGGCTCACAGAACCCAGCAGACTATATGATGTGCTACAGAAAGATACACGCCACTTTGAATATCCCAGCACCTTTCCCACTTATAAGATGTATTACTGAAGGTGCAGTGATGATTAGCATCAGGTACAGGGAGGTGGCCAAAAATCCGTTAAGGATGGCAAAGTGAGATGCAGGAGCAAGATCAGAGCAAAGTTACCAAGTAACAACCATCAGTGACAAGACACAAATGAATAGAAATTGGAGAGATCTACATAACAAATGCTTGAATAAATTCATTGATGCTTATGTAAATATGCAAATAAATATATATTCATATTCAAATATATTTTTCCAATGCTCTTGCAGGTCTGTTTTCATAATGATGAACAACAGAGGTTGTAAGGCAAATTGACCTGGGTTTCATTCCCAACTTACTCATTTTGAGCTCTGTGACTGGCAGCCAATCACTTAAATATTCTAAACCTCAATGTCCTTACCAGTAAAATGTGGGTGATAGAATGTTACCACATAGATTATAATGCAGGCTTAACAAGATAAAATGTCATAAAAGTACTAGTATAGTCTTTGGGGCAAAGAAGGGCTTAGAAAATGGTGAATATTAATATAAAGAGTCATTATTAAACTTTTATTATAGACCTTCATGATGGCCCACTGCCAAGTGTATTGTATTCGGTAATTCACATGCTAAACCTCAGTGCCCTCAGTCCTTTCAGTCACACATACGCTTCCTGCTGGTAGTCATGATAGTGCTAAAATCCAGTCCAGCCTTGCAAATGTCACTTGCTCAGAGTTTCTTGCCTGCCTGCCTTCTTATCTGTTCAACTTCCAAGCTTTTTATTCTGGAAAATTTCTTTTCTCTGTATTAAGTGGCCTTAAGTGCTGTCATAAGTCAAAAGATCTGGGAGCTAAAAACAAGGAAAGAGTATCCTTATGGTCTTCAGTATTTCTGATCAATTGGAACTGGATCTACTGAAAGATGCTGCATGTCTCTGTAAATTTATTTTTCACGTACCAGCTGCCAATATGTGAAAGCTTAGTGTGTGTGTGTGTGTGTGTGTGTGTGTATGTGTGTGTAAGGGTTCCCTGCAACTGCACAGAGTTATACTTCACTCAGATGGCTCCACTAATTTTAAGTGGTAAATGGAACCTTTCAAGAGCCATAGTCCTTGTCCATTAGAAAAGTAATTTTAGCTCCTGAGATTCGGTTCCTGAAATCAGGATGCTGGGGGAAATGTGTAGTCCTCAAATGCAGTGTGTGCACTCAGATGGTGCTACGTAGAGTTCCAGGCCAGGAAGAAAGTGTTCCTAGACTGTGTACCTAATATAAGCTTTACCACAGCTAATAAAGTTTATAAGGTTCTGCAGAGTTCTAAACCACAGAGGATGGATGCATCGGGCTTGCCTCCATATTTCTTACTCATTTTCTGGTAGATTCAAGGGAAGGAGGACTCAAAGGCGAGAAAGGGAACCAGGAGTAGTCAAGATGAACTGAAAGGGCTGGTCCCTCAAAAACATCACCTTTATTATCCTACCCACCCCACACTGATGCATTAGGTGAGAGGTAAGCCATTTCCTCTTACTTTTTAGAAGCCTCAGCCACACCTTACTATTGTGATAGGGAAACTGAAGGACTTCATAAAAATATACTTTTTGCTCCCTTTCCTGCTTCTATTCTTGCTAGGACCTGCACCTCCCACCCTACACATGTCTTAATGTAAGTCCTCCTTGTAAGGGACGAGGAGTTAACTATTTCTTTGGATTCTTCCAGCACAATAGGTAATGTCTAAGGAATTATGGGGCGAAGTCATCATGTGCATATTCCAGACCACTAGCGCTAGACATCTCAAGGATGCCAAGACACCCTGGTTCCAGGGAATAAGTGACTCATGATGGACACCTAGACTCTGTCCTTGTTCTGACCAGTTCCTATATGCCTGAGAAGACATGTGCACCAGACCACAATTGTCAGTAAAGACTCCAGACCCCACCCAAAGATGAGACTCATCCTCCATTCCCTTTCTGAGTCTCCCAGATGCTCTGTCTGTATCTTCTCTATATATACCATCAATAAATTCTGCTCTCACTTCCTCCTGGCTCATGTTTGCTTTCCATCCTGTATGAAGCCAAGGACCTTCTTGGTTGGTCCTGCAGGATCCCCTCTGGGTCCTCTGGTCCAGCCTGCCGGCATTACTATGAGTTATTTTTATCAATCAATACTCCTTTGACAGAGAGGCACTCTTGCTGTGGAAAGTGAACTCAGATACAAAGATCGGACTTGGGTTAGCGGAGGACAGCAAATTCCAAAAGAAAAGTCAGAAGAACGTAAAAGGGCTTGGTGCTTTTCAAGAACACAGACTAGTGATTTTGTCAAGGGGCAGCTTGGAGAAGTTTTAGTAACCCCAAAATACCTGGCATCCTACCCCCTCAAAGCCACCCAAATAGGCGTAAAAATTAATTCAGTGGTTTCTTTTTTTTTTTTTAATTATTATTTTGTTATGTTAGCCACCTTACAGTACATCATTTAACTCAGTGGTTTCAACTCTGGCTGCAGGTCAGAATCACCTGAGAAGGTTTGGTTTGGTTTTGTCTTGATTTATTTTGTTTTAAGATTTTATTTATTTGAGAGAAAGACCACATGGGGGGGTGGGGTAGAAGGAGAAGAGAATCTCAAGCAGACTCCACGCTGAGCATGGAGCCTGATGTGGGGCTCAATCCCAGGACACTGAGATCACCACCTGAGCCAAAACCCAGAGTCAGACACTTAACCGACTGCCCCACCCAGGTGCCCCTCACCTGAAAAGTTTTAAAGCTACAGAAGGCCAGTTAAAGCAGGCTATTTGGGCATGGGGCCCAGACACAGGTTTCTGGTTTATTTTTTAAACTCCCTAGTGACTCCAGTGTCCAGCCAGATTGAGACCCACTGCTCAAACAAGATTGGGGGCACCTGGGTGGCTCAGTCGTTAAGCGTCTGCCTTTGGCTCAGGTCATGATCCCAGGGTCCTGGAATGGAGCCCCGCATCAGGCTCCGTGCTCGGTGGGGAGCCTGCTTTCCCTCTCCCACTCCCCCTGCTGTATTCCCTCTCTCCCTTGTGTCTCTCTCTCTGTCAAATAAATGAATAAAATTTTAAAACACACACACACACACACACACACAAAAACAAAAAAAACAAGATGGCCTTGCACTGAAAACACAGCTTCAACGCAATTCTTCTTGACCCTCCTTCCAACCAGATGACCATTCGCGTCCTCCACCAATATAGGCATTCTAGAGTTATTAGTGCCACGAATTGCCTTCTTTTCTAATATGAGAGCTAAGGTTATTAGGATTGGTGTAGAATTAGTAACAACTCCAGTCTCTTCATTCCAGACAAATCTGGCCCTTTTCAGAAAAATGTCAGCCAACACCTGAAGTAAGTGATAAATATTCAGTCATCTCATCTTCAAATCTAAATAGCATCAGCTGTTTCTATGAGTTGGACACTCTTCCAGATGTTTCATACATATATAAATATAAATGAATATATATATGAATATATATCTGTATCTATATATCACAGATGCTTATCACTCTGTTTAATAGATATTATTGTAAAATTCCAAACCAGGGCGGGAATCTCTCTTCTTCTCTCCCCGTACACTGCCTCCATCTTAACCCAAGCCACCATGGCTCACCATCACTACTGTAGCAGCCTCCTGCCTGGTCACCTGCTTTCAATCTTGCCCCAGCCCATCCATCCCCCCCAACAGTAGCCTGGACACAGGGTGATCTTTGGAAAGCAGAAAGGGCTTGCTTAAAGCCCACCAGTGGCTCCCACTCCTCTTAGAATAAAGACTACCCACCTTCCCAAGACCTGAAAAGCCCTGCATGATCCAGCTCCTGCTTCACCTCCACCCTCATTTTATGCCCTTGCCCACCGCGCTTGAGCCACACTGACTCCCTTCCAGTTTGAGAGCATGCTATCTTATTCCTACTTTGTGGCCATCAAATACATTTCTTCTGCGTAGAATGCTTGCCCTGACTCCCTTCGATCCTTCAAGACTCAGCTGAAATGTCACAGCCTCAGAGAAGCTTTCCCTTGTCACCACCTAAGGAGCCACCTACTCCCTCTCCATTTGCTTTCTATTGCTCTGCCTTATTTGCTTCCTTCATCCCACTTAACATACTTAGCAATTATTTGTTGTAGAGTTACGATTTTTGTCTCATTTTCCTTTTGGACTGAGGGCACCTCAATGACAAGGGCTTCTACTCTTAGAGTCACCGGAGTACCCGCTGTGCTCAACACAATGCCCAGCACTTAGCCACTGGGTAAGAAATAGTTCTTGAATGAACAAAGAAGTCCATTTTCCAGATCTCAAATAAGCCAATTAACTTGCCGGAGATCAAAGAGCTCTAACAAGGAATATAGAAATCTCTCAGAGGCAAAAGAACATTCTGCTAGGGCTTAACAATATTTCTCTTTCAAAAAAATCACACTTATCCTGAAGACCTTAAATGACTGTAATCATCATGAATCTTCTTTGCTCCACACATAACCTAAGCCCCAGCTGTGATTGTCCACGTGCTAAGTACATCCAGCTGGTAGCCTGAGGTTGGGAGGATTTTGCAACAGTGGAAATCCTTAAATTGTTCAAATGTGCTTGTCACAAAGCATTTCTCTTAAGTGCTTTCTATCCTGCCTAGTGGGAAGCCCTTGTATTTTATCAAGTTGCAATCCAGTTGGACTACTGATGGGATTTCCCTTTGGCCAAGAGGGGGTGTGGCCCACATCAGCAAGTCTCTTCCATTGCTATTTTGGGAGCTGTAGGGAACTTCTGATGGATGGATACACCAGGAATTTCTCACCTGCACAGTTCTGCTGAGGCTCCCAGTGGACACTGATGCCCTCTCTCTGGCAGGCCCGGGTATATGCCAGGAATGACTCACAGTAACAGTTTTTATGGACTGGACATTCACACATGTCTGTCACGCAGGACCTAAGGAACCCAACAGAAAGAAATGAACATGTAAAAATATCAAATTATCACACACCCTAAATATGACTTGCAGAAAGGGGTGGGTGGGTGGATGTCAAACCTTGATTGGCCATTAAAGATTGCTATTTTAGGTCGGAAATCTAAAAATGGCATAAAAGTTCTGCATAAAGCCTTACTGGGTATCTCTGAACAACATGATATTAGGTTTCTTTTCTTCTAGAGCAGGACTGTCCAAGAGAACTTTCTGCAATGATGGAAATGTTTTACAATCTCCACTGTCCAAAGCAGTTCTACCACCCATATCTGGCTATTGAACACTTAGAATGCATCTAGTGTGTGTGAGGAAACAAATTTTTTATTTGATTTAATTTTAATTAACTTAGATGCAAATAATCAATATGCCTAGAGGTTACCATATTGGAAAGGCAGCTCCTAGGCTACAGTCACCATCCAAGTGCTGTCATTTTGTGAATAGCTCTAAGAATCATAGTTTCTACTTCAATATAACCAAAATAGTGACCAACTTGACGAAAGTAGAAAATCCCAGGATGAACCATGAGAGGCCATGGACTCTGGGAAACAATCTGGGGGTTTCAGAGGGGAGTGGGGTGGGGGGATGGGTTAGCCCGGTGATGGGTATTAAGGAGGTCATGTAATGCGTGGAGCACTGGGTGTTATACGCAAACAATGAATCAGGGAACACTACATCAAAAACTAATGATGTACTCTATGGTGACTAACATAACATAACATAACATAACATAACATAACATAACATAACATAAATAAATAAATAAAAGAAAATCCCAGGGCTTTCTGAAGACGTACAATTAAGATTCACTTTTGCAGTCACTTGGAATCTTAAGTTTTTTGAGAAACACTGAACCTCATTCTTTAGAATGTGGGGTGATAAATTCCAAATAAAGCAAAACTTTCAAACTCCTCATTAGACTGAAAGATAAAGAAGATTGAGCCAAGGTCTTCATAGCTTAAGTTTAAATATGGAAATGATGGGCCAGGACATCAGGAGAACTAAAACGGACTCAAATGTAAACTAACAAATTTTCAAGCACATTAACCTCCAGGACACAGTAATGAACTTACATTAGTATGTCCTATTACCATTTACAAAGTGCTTGTGTCTGTCAATGAGTGCTACATTGGACAAAACAGAGTCCCTATTTTATAAATAAAGAGGCCATTTTACAAATGAATAGATAGGCCCAAAGTCCCATTAAAAAGTGGTAAAAGAGTGAATTAAATTACATCCTCCCACACTCAGGCTCTTCCTTTTATGCCATAGAACCATCTTCATCTTCACCTTCCAGTAAGTTCGTTCCCTCCCAGTTTGGACTTGACATTTATGCATGAGGCCCTCAAGATTAAGAACATTAAACTACCCTTATTTTTTTTTTCCATACTCTTGTTCAGCGAAAACTCTTCCTTACAGAATCTAATTCCAGGCTGAAAGCAAAAACAAATAATAATAATAATATTCAAGATTACAAACAGCATAGATGATCTTGAAAAGTGACCAGGAAGTGATAATCCAGTGTGAATACACCAGCATTTTCCCTTGGTGTGGGACGTGTGTACACATCAGATTACAGAGGGTGGCCCGCTAGCTCTGTGTAAACGCTGGTGCACTGCCTACTTGGAACAAGAATTAGGTGCAGAAACCATATTAAAGAATCAATAGACTCACCGTGTACCCGCAAAGTTATAACAGCCCAACCCTCAAGAACACAGCCTTGGAAATATGAACTAACAGGGACAAAAGAGCAACTGTACTGAAACCTGATGAGCCTCTTCTGTGTCATCAAGTGAGAAATTATCTGATGACTGATACTTAAGACAGAAAATTATTTGATGACTGATATAGGACAGAAAAACAGATCTCTCTACTCTCTGAAATAATAAAGACTATATTTCCTTTTTTTTTAAGATTTTATTTATTTTAGAGATAGAGGGAGAGAGAGAGGGAGAGCGGGATGGGGAGGAACAGAGGGAGAGGGACAAGCAGACTCCATGCTGAGCCCAACGTGGGGCTCGATCCCAGGACCCTGAGAGATCATGACCTGAGCCAAAGTCAAGACTAAGGTCTAACTGACTTAATTGACTAAGCCACCCAGGTGCCCCAAGACTGTATTTCTTAATACGTCTTCCCACTTGCATTACAGAAACCCTGTGAAATCATGCTCACTCGCAAACCCTTTCCCGTACCAGACACAGTGCTGTGTCTTTAAATTCTTGCAGAGCCTCCAGGCTTCCGAGAAAAGCCAACTAAAGCCTGTTCTTAAAACAGCCTCTAAACATCTGAGGACCAACACTCCTCAACACCACTGCCTTTGCTGTTTTCATTTTCGTTTCAGACCAACCCACACCCATCACACTCCCGCTCAGCTCAGACTTCACAGAGAGGCTTCGGCTGCTAGTGCTAACCTCTCATCCCCGCCCCCGGCTTCACTCCCTGGGGACTTCCCTGGCCCGTGCAGTGCTGGTCTCTTGGGCACGGGTCCCACCGACGCTATGGCGATGCAGTGGGACCGAGTGGGCCCGATGAAATGATGGTCCTCGTGTGGGAACGAGGTGGTCTCCGCATGAGGAAACACATCCTCTGATCTGAAAGAACAACTACATCGACTCCGTAAAACTGTGTAGACAGTGAACAGAATTTAATTGGTTTGGGTCAAAGAATGTTAGTGAACGTTTTCCTTCTTTTTCTCTTTCTTTCTACTGGTTGTCTTAGGAAGCTATTTATACGATTTAAAATAAACTAGGTACAGCTAAATCCAATTCACCGAGACTGTCGAGCGAAAACGTGGAAGCCCACATTTAATAACCACTGCATAGCCGCCCTCCGTCTCCACAACAGGCCACGCAGGGCACACACACAGTCCACAATGGATCTGCCCTTTAAAACAAAGGAAGATTTGAGCTAATTCTGTTACTTAGCACTCATGAGGAAGAACAACACCGGAAGAAAAAACATTTGTCAAAGCCACCCTTGGCTTGAAATATTTCACATATATTTAAAGGCTTGGGAGATGTGTTTTGTCACAGAAGTTAAAACTACAAGATGTCTTTTTTTTCCACTTGTCAAGCTGATGCTTTTTTACACCAGATCATACCTAGGGTCTGTGAGAGAATGGAGAAAGAGAGGGTCCCTACTCAGCTGGCAGAGTGAACAACTCTTAACTCTTACGTCGGGCATTTTGCTACCGTCGGCTTGTATGTGGACTAGCTCATTTAGCCCACACAGCGACGGGGGTGAGGCACGTCTTATTACTGGCCCACTTTTGGGGAAACCGGAGCTTGGAGGTGTTAGCTTGCTCAAGGCCCCATGGCTGACTTCAGATCTGGAACTGCAAAACCAGGACTGTGATTCAGGTCTTTCTCATCTCAACCCCCATATTAATAACAACTGCATTAGAAGATCTTTTTAGGGAGCAATTTGGCAATACTAATAAATGGCCCTAAGGAAGCTCCTTCCTTTGGCAGGGAAATTTCACACCCAAGAAAATAGTAATGCATGTGGACAAAGACTCTGTATATAGGGGTTTTCATCATAATGCTATTTAAAATGAAAAAGAGAGCAGGGGGATAACCTGAATTGCCTATAACAGGAGCTAGTTAAATACATCTAGGTGACCTTTATATCCTGCAGACATGTTTTTTAAAATATGAGGAAACATTCCAGCAGGACTGATTGAAAAAGAGCAAAGCTGTTTCAGTACTGTGTGGTCGCAGATAAGAAGACAAAAATAACTGAAAACAGATAGGCCCAAATGTTCACAGCAGTCAATGCGAGGTGGTAGAATTGTGGTGCTTATTTTCTCCATATCTGTACTTTCTACAATAAACACATACCACTTTTCTAAAAGGATAAAATCGGTGTATTTTTAAATTGACAAAAAGAGTAACATGAGACATATTAGTACTTCAGTCAGAATGTAGGGACTGGAGTGAGAAAAATAAAGCACAAAGAATGAGAGGAAATTAGAACATCCATTCATAGGTCTTAGTTATTAAATATTTCTCCAGCTAAAGATTTCCAATCTGTGTATCAGAGGCCTCCTGACACAGACTTTGATTCTATTCACTGAGTGTCATCCTCAGACTCCCACCTCATTGGTCAACTGACGCTATGGATTTGACATCCAAATGGTTGGAATGGATAATGGGATAATTGGGCACGCGTCTGCTGGAAGGAATTTATTGAGAAAAAGGAACTTATTAAGAGAAGAGTAAAAGCATCCTCAAATGCACTTCAAATTTCAGGGAGGGGTGAAGCTATTGTGATTCAAGTGTTCAATTTGTGTTTATCACACTTAATAGTTCAGTATGAGAAAAATCTAATTTATGACAGCGGAGTTGAATTTTTATGTGGTAATGGAAGAGTGTTGTTCTTTCCTTAGTCAGTATGCACTGATACTGCACATTTATATTCGTTTTATAGAATATGTAGGAGAATGTTAATCACTTTTAGTAGTTAGTAAGATTTATGGCTTTGGTTTCTGTTTTCATGGCATGATTCTGTCACAGTCATGTTCTGTTCGATGTTGAGTTCCTGCTCAAGAAACATAGGCACCCATTGCTCCAGTGGGAAAACACAGGCTGCATTACAATAGAGCTTTCCCAGGAAAGCTCAACAGGTAAAGCAGAATCATCGCCTGCCTATGGAGCCCTTTGAAGCATGCCTTCTGTCACAGGAGCTGACGAATGTATAGAGAAATGATGTTCTGTTTTCTCCGCCCTGCTCCTGGCAACTTGCCTGACAGCAGAGAGGTGCAGGCAGGATTCCTGCTCCTTGGGGCTCACACAGCTGTGCACCGCAGTGATGTAGAGAGAGGATGCCAAGAGCTCCCGCAGGCTCCCCCCAGGCTGGTGCCCTGCTAGGCAGCCCTTTGTCACACACCAGCTGCCCCCTTCTCTAATCATTTCCGGTATGGGTGTCATGTCTCAGTAAGACTGTTCGAAGGCCTCTCCAAACTGCATGC